GATTGTTTTTGTTAGAGCTGGGTTTCCAGTGAGGAGTGCACTCCTGGTGCAGAGCTGGCTTTACAAAGCTAGTTCATGAGTCGCTGGGATGACTACTAACCTGTTGCCTTGTCCAGTGCTCTAACATTGCAGCTTTTTCTGTGAGCACTGTGCTTTAAAATTAGTTTCAGGGGTGGGGCAGGGCTGTTGGTTTGTTGAGTTTTTTTGCTTTATGCCTGAATGGTGCATTTTGGAGAAAAGATGATCCTCCAAATGAGAGATCTGAAGAAAGGAAGTGATCAGCTGCCATAAGGTAGCAGTATAAACTCTCACTGATCAAAATGATGTCATGGTCCTAAAGTGCTGGATTAGTGAGGTTTTCTCTGCACATGGGACTTTGCATAAGGAGAGGTTAATATGTTTCTGCTGGCCTGGCAAAAATTCATAACAAATCTGCAATTCTGCTTCAAAGATCACCATAAACAATTCAGTGCTCTCGTTAGTGTCTACACCCTGTGAATGTTTAAACCACAAGAAACCACAAACCACAAGAAACCTGCAAACTGAATAAACAGCTGCTGCTCCAAACTCCAAATCAAATTTACAATATTCTGCTAATAGCCAGGAAGTTGCACTGCAAAAGCAGATTTCATATTGCCAATATCTATGTCACAATTAAACTATAGCTGAGCTTTTAGGTGTTTAAATTAATTCATGATAATATACTCAAGAAAATTATTGCTTCCATTAAAAAAAAAGGAACCTCTAAAATGTCAAAAGATAAAGTGGTACAGGATGTGGATGTATTAATATCCAAGGAAAATGGGATTCATTAGCTACAATATTTCATACATTACAGTATAAGGTATGCACATAAGAAAAAACTCCCTTGGGCTTTTGCAGCACATGAGCTTTCTAGGTCTTCCCCTGTGTTGTTGCCTGAATTGTTTTAACATAGCAGTTCTGTGTATAATTCTATCTGTCCACACGCTGAAGAAAACATCCCCCTTACTGCTCTTGTTCTTGAACTTGCTTTTGTTACTGCATCCAGGGCAAGCAAAGAAGAACAGCCATCAAGAGGATATCCACATTCTGAGAGTGGCTGGTGGGGGATGCTTGAGTAACCATGTCAGAAGCAGTGCATGTATAAGATGATCCTCCTCTCAGCTCACAGTTACCTAGGGCTTGGGAATCTCTGAAGAAAGAATGAAGGGTCTGAACCTCCTTGGTGGATCTTTCTGACATGAGTTTATCTCGGTGCTTCCCTAAATCTGTTACATCTTTTCAATAGGCATGTCAAAGAAGTGCAGGTCTCATGGGAGATGAACAGCCACGCCGGTACAGCCCTTGCTTGCTGAGAGGAAAGGAGCAGAGAGCTTTCAGTGAGGAATCATGTCATCTTCTGGCTGATGAGTGAGTCATTCGTCGTAACAGCTTTGATCATGCTGATTACAGCTACCTTAGTAAATAAAATGGGCCCGAGACTGCTTTCCGAGTCTGACACCCATCCACTCACACCAGACAGGTAACCCTGTCCAGCTGTTGCAGCCTTTTAGGAGTACTCCTGGAGTATGCCTCAGCACTGAGGAGAGAGTGCCTGTGTATCAAGACCTTTCTAATTAACCATACAGACCATGACATGCCACTGCTCAGGCCCTGTCCCTTGACCTCTTGAGCTTTGTAGCAGAAGCATGGCTATTGTGTCTGACCTTCACAGGAAAAGAGATTGTAATCCCCAAAATACCTGTGTTAGTCAAAGCTGTGCTTATGTAAAGGAAAGAGTGGGTCAAATAGAAGAGATGGTAGGTCATAGCAGAGCTCTCTGGTTTTCCTAGCAAAACCTGCAGAGCTCTGCAGAAAGGGACAGCAGGGAGTGCAGCAGGGGAAGAGATAAGCATGGGCCAAAGCAGGAGCTGAAATTTCTGCTATAGGGCTCGGCGAAGGTGGAGAGACCAGCTAGCACAATGGCAAATTAATCTGGGAAAACTGGGAAAGCTCAGCATCACCCTAATATTTCTATCAGTGATGTCTACAGCACTGGAAAGAGAAAAACACAGCTGGGGAGCAGGTCAGGAGAGCAAAGAAATGCCAGGAGCTGTAGGCAGCAAGGAGCTGGGCTGGAGTGTACCACAGGCAGCCATTGATATGCAGGCATTGACAGTCTGGAGGTCTGAGGATAGTTGGGCTGACAAGAGCAGGGAGAGCTGGGGTCACTGGTGAAGCCCTGAGAAGGGTAAGCAGAAGCTTGCCCTGGAGGCAAGGCCAGCAGACAGCCAAGGGAAGAGGCAGGAGTGTTTCTCTTCCATGTTGGGTGGCTGCAGGTGGCGGACAGGAGCAGGAGGCAGGCAGCAGGGCCACAGGTATGGTCTTGCACTGACTTCCCTCTTTTTCTTGATGTGTTGTGGGAAGAGTTCTATCAGTTTAGTCTCTTGAGTGGAAGAGCATTTACTGGGTCATTTTATCAGCCACCTGGCTGACAGTGTTCCCTTAAGGGTATTTACTAACAGGAGAAGGCATGGCCAATCTCCTACCAAATGCCCTGACTCTCACCCACTACATGGGCCCAGCCAGTGTGAGGAGGGTCACAGCCAGAACCTGGCTCAAATGCCCTTTAGTAAACATGTACATGTGTATTTCCCCTATGCTGAAACATTAAAAGTTCCCATGAAATGGGAATTTTGGATTTGAGCTGCTTTCAGCTTTCATCAACCTGAACCACCCTTAATTTTTACCTTTTTGAAGTTGTTTCCTATAAATCTGAAATAAAGTGAAGATCTGATTCCAGAACTTCACATGTATCTTTTTAAGTCGCTCTAACACAACATTCACCCTGAAGTCTGGGACTCCCCCATCTTCAGTGTTGATCTTTGTATTGATCCGTTAGATAAAACTATAAGGAAGAAAGTATGCATAAGAAAAATGCTGCAAAGTCAATCTTGGATGAAAAGGTGAACAACTGGTCTTGCAAATCTTTCCTGGCCCTACCCTCTCAGTAGTGTTGGGGAGCAGAGCTCCATAAGCACAATAGCCACTAGATGCCACTATAAGCATGGTTTTATATTTAGAAATAAGATTATTTTTTTAAAAAACAAAGTGAACTGTCAAGGTTTGCTAATTTGAAAATAATCCTTTCAGTTGTACTGCGTTTCCTTTGTACAGGTCAGCCTTGCTTTAGGATTGTCGTTTTCCTGCGGAGACTTTCTCTTACCTGTCTCCATCATGATCATCATCCTCACATACAACATATAAAAATGTACTTCTTTGTAAATGTGAGTATGCCTTTGTGTTTTGCCTTTCCTGGGCCATCCTCCTCAGGAAGCAGAAATTACTTTTGGCATTCTCTCATACATCTTTCAAAAGCACTTCTCTGCCCTCCATATTCACATGTCACCTCGGGCAGAGAAGCGTATTGCAATATCAGCAATGTTGATGCATAGCATCGTCAGCCATGTGCTTCTGTGCACACTGACCCCATTTCCTACTCAGCAGAGAAGGACTGTGGATTAATCTGCTCTCACCCTTACCACCCAAAGCAGCTCTTCCCATCGCAAAATTGGGAATGGCCCAGAATCCTTTAGGTGAAGGAGTCTTCATTCTATGAAGAGCAGCACGTCTGTGGAGAGTGCTGAAGGAGAGGTGGGATACACAGGCACCATGCCAAGACCCTATCACATCCCAGAAATTCTGCAGTGCTGTAGGAGAGGAACAACCCTATCCCAGGGCTCAGCTGTGCCTCTCTCCCCAAAAGAGGACTTTTCTGCACCCCAGGGGCCTCATGCTACCAAGGCACCATCCATATGCCCTCTCCAGGCTTCAGCAGCCTCACACCCACCACAGAGGCCAGATGCTCGCCCTCAGCCCCAGAGTGCTGAGCAGTCACATCCGATGCTGCCACAAGCAGGACACACACACAATGTTTTATTAACCTCCTTCCTCCATCATCTCACCCAGAGAGTCAGTGAAAATAACACTGGTTGTGAAGGAGAAAGCCTTACACCCACCCACACATGACTAAACCCAAAACCCCACAGCAGCAGTCAGTGTGCTAATCTGCAGTGTGGCTCAGCCAGCTTGGTGTGTGCATATAGGGGTCACGGCTGCCATAGACCAAGCTACCACTGAAAATGACCCTGAGGAAAGTAGGTTTCTCTTGCTATCTGCAAGTGTTGCAAACTGGGGTCCAAAAACTAAGCAATGATTTCTCAGACTCAATTAACCATCTAAGAGACATCTATTTTAAGACGAGATGAACCTCATCATAGATGTGGAGGTATCCACCATAATACATGGAGAAATGAATGTAGATCTAGGGAAAAATGCTTTTTTTAAAATTCCATCGCAATTTCAGATGTTCACTATTTACAACTGAAAATACAACTATTTACAACTGAGTGGGTTTTCCCACTCAATAACTACTTCGTTTGAAAAAAAGGAGGTCTGTGGGATCTAGGAGAAAATGTACCATCCTTATTGATGTTGTACCTCTGTTTTTTTACCATGTTAGAGTTAACATGACATGGTTTTCTTCTGATAATCTTCCAGTTATTTTTAAAAAGGAAAGCAGAGTCTTAAAAATGAGACACTTTAAAAGTTTTCTATTTTTACCTGCATGACTGAATACTCTAAATCGAGCTTTTTCTCAACCAAAGGACATTAATAAAACCTGACAAATTCAAAAATGGATAAGGAGAACATTGGAGCTGAGCACTTGTTGGGCAGGCAGACAAAAAATGAGAAAAAGTATCAATTCTCACATGAACCCTCCCCCTTGGGGTGGTTGCAGATACCAGCGATCCTCATCATATTTGCAGTAGGATTGGTTGCCTGCTTTACCCTCTAGAGATGTGCTAGCAAAAAGTCCCAAACCTTCCTATTTGCAAATGCATCTAAGTGGAGCAACTACCTCTATTAAAGCAATGAAAACTAAGTTTCTTTTCCATGCACTCCTGGGATACTCTCTATTTTGGCTCATATTCAGGAAGGCAATTAAATATGTGCTAACTCTATGCTCATGAATAGTCACATTGAAATTTAAGGAATTACACATGCCTAAGTGCTTTCTTGAATGAAGCCCAAAGTTTGTATTCCAAAGAGAGCTAAAAACACTGTGGCTGAAAGCCACACACTGCTCTAAAGGCCGTGGCAAGGGAGCTACAATTCAGCAGATGCTCCCAGGAGGGTGCGGGTAGTAAGGGAAGGGAGTCCAGATTTATGCGTGTTGCAAAAGAAAACCTATTTTCCATTTGTAAGGCACTGCCCTATCCCTCTTGAGGAAAGTATATAGTGTTTTTCTTTCATTCCCTGTTCATTCCTCTTCCCAAACCTGGTAGAATTTAACTAATCCCTCATGCTCACTGTTTTGCAAAGTTCACCTATCAGATCCATCAGGTCCACTGCCTTGATGCTGTGGAGTATGCGTGAAGAGGATACAAAGAGACCTAGGGGATCTCTGCAAACCAGGCACAGGAGTTTGGTTAGACCGTTGCCTTGGCCTTTGCAGAGGCAGGTAAATGTCTGCCTCCCTTTTCCCAGAAAATGATAATACTGAACAAGAATAGTGACACTAACAAGCATTCTAAACAAGGTGAAATTCCTTTAGGACTGTTCACTTGTTATAGCCCATGCTCACATCCATATTCATAGTAGCAGAACTGCTTTCAAAATAGAGAATCCCTCCTCATTGGCTACCAAGAGATACAATAGTTTACAGTATCTTCTGTCAAATGACCTCCACAGGGAAGACTAAGTTTTGTACTGTGGTAAGTGTACCCCTGCACACGCTGATGTAGACCAGCAGTTTGTGTGTGCCTGGGTTGGGCTGAATTAGTCAATAACCTGAGAGAAATGGGTTTTGCTAGGTATCACATGTATCCTGATAGTATTACTAGGTGACTTCCAGTTTCTTCCATTTTTGCCTCCTGCTTTGTTCAAAATACAGCAGAATGTCATTTAGTTCAGGTTTTTTCCCTGCTAAGTCACATGTGGACAAACTCTACCAGGAGTTGATGAATAATAATGTCACTCTGAAGGGACACTTGGGTGACAGTTGATAATTCATGTATCATTACCTTGTTGTCTTCCTGGGGAAGAGTCACTGAAATCAGCACACCTCCTCCATGACCACCAGAGGCTAGCTCACCTGACTGCCACAAATTCCTTGTGTGGCCTCAGACAATGCACTCAGCCTCCCATCAGCTTCCTTTTCTCCATTCCTGGTCCTTTTTCTCCTTTCCATCTGCAATCTCCAGTACATCTTGTACACTGGGAGAAGGCCTAGTGCCATCAGGCCCCGCTCTTTTGTAGAGATGATCTGCACTGCCCAGAAGAAGAGATCACGCAGAGAAGTAAGAGATTTCAGACAAACCATTCTCTCTAGCTCCAGCAGTTGTTGCCCTTGATTTGCCAGTTTGATAGTGGCAACTTTCAAGTCAATATGCAAAGTCACAGGAAAAAAAATAACCTAACCTTAACTCTTAAGATTGTTTTGAACCATCATGTATCATATTATTGATATTTTATCTGTTAGATATTTGCTCTTTTTAAATGCAAAGTGTTTATTTTTCTATTATGCAGAAACATTTTCAGTGTAGTGACTTTTGGTTTCAGTTTACCTAATGGGTGTGAAAAGAGCACTTTCTTTATTTGAACTCATTCATTCACAGTTAAGAAATCAGTCGGGAGTGGAAGAAGCAGCAATGCTCATTTCCTCTTCCAGCCTGTGGCTAGAAACAGGTGGACAAGGTCAAGACATGCTCATTTTAGAAACAAGAAGGATATGGGTAAGATTTTCCAAACTGCAACTCAAGCAGGTAGCGTTCCCACTTCACACAACTGTCATTAGTTTCCAGTGAGATGCTTTGGGAGGTGCCACAGACAGCTCATCTGTATCTTTAAGAACTTACATGTCTTTAAATATCTTCAGTGACCAGAAACAGCCTGTCTGTTCATTAGGTACAGTTATTACTTCTCTTATTTGATACATCCGTTAGATGTAAGGACAAAACTTGTTTTGATGCCTGGTTTATTCAACCTTCCTCACAAAGCATGAAGCACATTTAAAGAAGTTGGGGTTTTGTTTATTAATAGCAAATGTTGGTATTGTGTACATTTTATTGATTTTCCAGTTCCACCCATCAACTCCTTGACACAAATAAGGGAAAAATTAATTCTAAGAAATGTTGTCTTTTACCTTTTACTGATATGACATGTATGTGTCTGTACCTACAGTCTTTCTCATGGTCAGAGAAGTTAGATGTTTCCCCTGCTCAATCATCTGGTCATGTGCCTGAGCATCAGAAAGGATCTCCTGGTTACCTGCCACCCATTACAGCAAGCAGACCTTCATGCCCTTTATGACCTGTCTCTCCAGCATGGATTGCCCCCTTTTCAAAGTTTTTTTGCCAGTGCAAGAATAAAACTAATTTCCTGGACGCTTCTGCTAAAGCAGACCTCAAGTGATGTTTTGGTACTAAATCTAAAACATCATTGCAAATATTTTCTGGAGGCTTTGCTGAACTGTGACTTTGCTGAAGTTCCCAAGTTATTACCTGATCTATAACTTATAACTGGTTTCTGTCAGAAATACTTTCAGTTTTGTTGTTCATCGAGGTCAGAAAATAGTGGTCTGGCACAAACGTCCTGTACATGTTACCAACCACAATTTTTATATATAGCATGCACTCTTGAGAAACAGATTCATTACAGTTGGCTGACAAACATTTTTTATACCAGGCAGTGAAATCACCCTGTTAGTGTGGAGACTGTTTTGGAGGAGGCTGCTGTTTTAAGCTTACTTGAGGTGTGCCCACAAGTCTGTTTATTTTCATGTATCTTATGTGGTCAGGGTGGTGGTGCTGGAGATTTTCATTGCTGAGCAATTTCTTCTACTTTATTAAATGAATTTAGTTTCAAATGGAGTACTGGGTTTTCGTTTGTGGTGCTGCTTTTCCTGTTACTGTTGTTGTGGTTTACCGTCCACATTGGGGTGTTCAAAAACTGCTGTTCAAACTTCACCAGGTTTGTTTTGTGATTTGTGTTTTTTGCAGTTCTGAGCATTTCTTAGTCTCAGAACAATGAGCATGGGCTGGGACTCCCTCCATGAGGAATCATAGTATATACAGTGCTGGGACAGCACTGGAAGTTTATGACTTCAGCCAGACACATTTCAAGTCCTTGTTGAACCAGGAACTGAGAGGATATAAAGACCCATCCAGACAGGGCTTACAATATCAGTAATGCCTTCTTTAACATACAGATACTGTAAAGAGTTGCATTTCCAGATTGGCTTCTTCCCTGTATCTGACTGTGCATTTTAATTGCTAGAGCAACTCTTTGGAAAAAAAAAAATTAATAAAAGAGAGAGAGCATAGTCTTTCCCAGGCTTAAAACAACGATTTAGAGGATGATGTTAGGCAAGTTTTAGTACTGATTTTCCTATTTGTAAGATAGAGATATTAAGATTAATCACAGCAGGCCAGTCCTCTAAGGATGTCAGGATGGTTAACTCCTATTAGAAAGTATTCTGAGCTAATCAAAGAAAAGGTGCTACCCACACAAACATAGTGGGAGGCTTGGCATTTCTCTACTCAGCTATAGTGACGACATTTGAGATCGTGACTCCAGTTCCTAAACATGAGCAATAAGGGATTTCAGTGGGAAATGTAGGAGTGACACAATGCAAGGACATGTCCTTGGGCTCTCAGGAAAGGGGTAACTGAGGGCACCATCTGCACAGCCCCTCAATGGCCAGCAGAGCAGGACCTCCGTATGCTTTCACGTGCATATTTACATCAGTGTACACTTCCCCAGGCTTTGGGCAGGTACAGTTTGAACAGCACGAGAAGCACAGAAAACAGAAAAATGTCACCCTTTCCTTTGACAGCATCTCTGCATCGCTTTTTGCTTGGCAAGGTCAATTTATCTGACAAAGGTTGCTCAGAAGGTATTTATAATCATAAAAAGGTCTGCTTGAATAAAGTTGCCTCAAGACTGGGTCTGAGCCTCCCTCAGAGATGCACAGCTGCTTTTGTTGGGATTCTCCCCAGTGAGGGGACACCATGGGGTCACCACAGTTGTGGGGGAAGGGAAAGGGAAAAGCTGGTGCAACTCAGCAGCAAATACCCCCAGCTGTGCCTTTTGCCTTACTATCATCTCATGTCTCTCACATTGGTCCTCTCTTCTCCCAGCCCTGTGTCATGCCAGTAAGCCCATGGACACCCACAAGAGGCCATAGTTTCCCTTCATCTCCATTCATCCCAAACCCAGTTATTTGTTGCTTGCTTTAAGATGGACTCATTGCAGTTGTCTGCAATGATTCCTCTTGCACAGCCCCACAAATTCTACCACTGTATCACCTCCTTCATGTCCCAGACACATCCCAGTCAGTTTTCCAGCACCCTCCCTCTCCTAAGACCATTACAAGCAGATGAGTAACTCCCAAACTGACTTTTCATTTGTTTCTAATAGAGTTGGTGAGTTCGCTGTGTGATAACTTTCATGTGTGTCATCATCATCATTATTTCCAGTATTCAAAAGCTTTTAAGGCTCTTTGTTTTAGGATAAAACAATTTTACCATTTAACAATGGGAGACAGAACCCTGTAAGTTTTCTCAATTGAAGTTTGGTGCAAAATAAAGATTGGAAACCACCAGCCTAAACAGTTCTTAACCCTATGGTAATCTGCAATATGTTCCAGTGCCCAGTAGTCCTTATCATTAGAAAATATTTCTGATGGCTAACATAAATCTTCCCTGCTGCACATTAAGCTTGTTACATGTTGTGCTATTGCCAGCAGATATGGACAACGCTTTATTACAGTCTCTGTTGCAGCTGTCTTTTACATATTTGAAGACTGTTGTCTTGTCTTCTCTTTTCCATGCTAGGCACAGTCTCATTTTTTAATTTTTGCCCTGAGTTCACATTTACTAGACCTCTAATCACTCTTGTTGCTTTTGTCTGAGCGTTCTCCAGCATGTTAGTAGGGCAGCTAAATATATCCCTGCTCTTCTTTGAGATTCAAATCGGCCTTTATGCTATGAATTATCCCCAGAGCTCCCCTAGGCTTGGTTACGAGCCTATTCACCTAAATCCCTTGCTAAACCACCATTTTCTAGGATAAAGCCCCTATTCCTGTAGGTAAGCTGCCTTTATTTATCCCTAGCTTCATAGTCTTTCATTTGTCTGTCAAAATGTGTACTGTTTAACTGACCTTCCTTTAACAAGTAGTCTGGATCACTTTTTCTAGCTGACCTATCCGTAATTTCTGCCACAGTTTTTTGTTATCTCCATATCTTCCACCAGGACCAGAACGGAAACCCGTGGGACCCTGCAAGGAACAACCCCCAGGGTGACAAAATTCCAGGCAACATGTAATCTATTCAGTATGGGCTCTTTTGACTTTGCAGTTCTCGTTTATTTTCACAGCATCATGTGCAGTGAAATCACATGTCTTGCAAAACCCTAAAAGTGTTGTGTCATCATATTTACCCTTACCAAAACTGAGATCTGCTCAAGGAAGTAATAGCAAACTTGCTATCTGGAAGGAACCTCCAGCTTTCTTGGGGAGTGGCAAAGAGTTCGAAAAACAAAAGCTGGTGTGTTGCTTGGAAGAGAAAGTAAAACGTAAAGGCAGGAAAACTATTAGCCATAAGAGGAGTGTGTCTGTACTCATTTCATAAAGGTATGAATTAAGTACTGGAACTGACTGTCTAAATTGATTGCATCTGGTAAGCATTAACTGAGTACACATTTCTGAACTGTTTGCTGCTTTTTTGATCCCACTGGGTAGTCAGCTTCTGATATTTCCACTGAACCGTGTTTAATCATGTTTAGCAATATTTTAGTGATAAGTGATAGCTCCACTTTCAGCCTTTGATGCATATGATTATATTACCTCCTTCTTCAGTGAATGCAAAAATCCACTGGTAACTGGTACTGTTGATGTCTGAGGAAGTCAGTGCTGTTATTGTTTCAGTGTTCAGCATGCTGCCGCTGCATCGCTTTGATCCGTGGCCTTACATGGCTTTTTAAAGCGGAGGAGGGTGGAGGGAGAAGGGTTACTGGGCTTGTAAACATTTCTATTACATCAGATTAGTTTCCCTGCCATGTACAATCTGCTGGTGTGACTCAGACTTTCACATTTTATAAAGTCAGTTATGTCTACTGGGACTACAACCATTCTGAGAAATTCTAGATAAATGTGAATTAGTTTTATTCTTATCTTATTACACAATGTACAATTGTACAAAAAATGCCCTTTTGTTGACTTTCAGTGCAGATGTGCAACCACTGGCAGATAATGAGAACAACATGTTCCCTGTCTCACCAGCTCCTTTATTCTTTGGCTACGAGTCTTAACCCAGGTTTAGGACTAACCCATGCTCATTCACAGGGTTCTCAGCTGCTCTCCACCCACCTCTCTTTTTTTTTTTTTTAATGGAACTGCACCACTGTGACCTGAGGTGGCTGCCACTAAATAGTTGGAGTCATGTTTCTTAGAGTAGATCATTCAACCACTTTTACTCTGGGGAATAGGGTGTGCTTTTTCACAGTTATAGGATCTGGGCAGGACAATTTATTTTTGCCCTTGATTTGGTTCAGGGCACTGCCAGTAGTATGGGAAAAGTGATAGTCATTACCATCAAAACCTTAATGTCTCATATGAAATAACCTGGGGCACCACATGTAACAGTTTCCCTTCAGGACTTTCAGGGCACGATTTTCAAGCACTCTGCTTCATGGCAGCCCAGGTTTGCAATTGATTTGTTATTTTCCACATATTTTCTTGCCTCACATTTCCACAGTTGCCTGCTATTCAAATAATGTCTTACTAGTGTGGCATTCATTTTGATTGTGTTAGGGAGTGAGCAGGATTCCCAGGTTGTTTGCAGAGATCTTTAGCAATAGCTGTGATTTCTTCAGCACTGGGACAAACCAAAGAGAGTTTTTCTTTTTTGGATGATCTACGTGCCTGCCTCACACAGGCATATGACCATTTCTAACATTTCTGGCAACAGTAAATAGGACCATTCAGTAGCCCCATGCAGAGGAAACAACTGCACCACAACCTTGAAGAAAATATGATGATGATTTGAAGGGTGGTCCCAGATACTCCCCCTAGGGCTCTGCAATGCATCAATCCTGCTCTGAAGCACGTAAAGTCAAACCCAATGTTTTTGGAAGTCAAAACCAATGATTTTGGTAAATGCAGGGTAGGACTCACAGGCAAATACAGACAGTGAGTGAGAAAAAAATGCAGAAGATTGTGAATGATCCTTACTAGCCTCTCACATAGTAGGCAGGACATCGTTCTGTAATTGCTAGTCCAGCCACTAAAAGAAACCATGCACAGACAAGAAACTATTCAAGACTCTTACCAGATCAGCCATCATGGTGGGCTGGAGCTAGAGATATCTGCTAGGATCATGCATGAAAAGCCATTGCCACACACATCAGCATCTCTCGCATGGGGATGGG